TTGTGAATCCCATAAAATATGTGATTAAAATTAATTATTGACTTTGATATAGATTAAAATATAAATTTTTATCCATACCAAACAAGGGCTTAAAAACAAAATACAATAATCTCAAAGGAAATTTAAGATCTATAATTTATTTGGCAATGTTTTGAAAATCGACTTCGGCATCAACTCGAAAAAGGTGAATGGTCAAAAGTTTCAATCCGGGACAAACGGAAAGCAATAAATAAATACACAAACAATAAAAAACTACGAAATCAATAAATTGTTTTTTTAATTTTCACATTAATAATTCAAAGTAAATCTATGTTTGTTAATGAGATTCATTATCAAGTGTAATTTAAGTTAAATTTGAAAATTAAATAAATAAAAAGATGGAAGTGAATATTACAATTTAGTTAGTTAGGATTCAAAATCATATATTTGGCTTGGAAAATAGTTTTGATGGGCATTTTAACCCCTTTTTTTTTTGCTATACGACTATCTCATATTGGAAGTTTATGAAAGCACTTGAAAGAAGTGCATCTATAATACCACCATCCCACATTGAGAGTTTATGAAATCATTTGAGAGAGATGCATCTATAAAAGGAACATGCCATCCAAAATTTATCTATGGGCCTTTGATCATTAATAGTGTATCAATAATAATAGAAGTAGAAATTTTTTAGTTAAAAATTAGTAAAATTGCCACCGATTCATGGTTAAAATCGATAGGTTTGAAGGGTTTTGAGCAGTTTTTGTGCTAGTTGGTTAATTGGGCATGATTGGTCCGATTTTGGATCCGATTCAAGATTCTATCGTTTAAATTGGTCGGATCGAGCCGATTTTGATAACATTGTGATTAAATCTAAAAACCAACACATATTTCAAAATGTACTTTGAGCCTTATTTCAAGTTTGGATCCTTCGGTCTGGGAATAAACTAAACTTTGAGCCTTATTAGTTAATTTTTATAAGCCGAGTCTTTATATCTTGGTCTGTGTCATACTACTAGATCAAATCTTTGATTTTTCCTATCTATTGATGCTAATTGTTCTGGTGATTAAGCTTTCTTGCTGATTCCTTTTTAATTAGTTTTCGACATTTTAGTTTCATATTATTAGATTTCTAAAATGCTTAACGGAGATTATGAAGATAAATAGTGTATGTTATATTATATAAAAAAAGTTAGTAGATAAATGAATTGTGGAATTATCTTCAGAAGTCAATGAATGACATGTACTTTTGACACTATATGCTAATAAAATTTGACTGCATACAATGGCACAAAGTCTAAAAAGACTTGGCATTACTGCTTAAAGCTTTGACTGTTATTGTAATGTCTTGTCTATTACATAATAACATTTTTCATGATTCATTAATAAAATACATTCTTCTTTTCCCTAAGGATATTTTTGTAAAGTTCATTTATATAAAATATTTTTATTTTTCTAATATATTTGAAGAATTAATATTAGACTAAAAAAGAAATAGAAATAAAAATATTATTTATTATAGGAGAAATTGTAGCACCGATCCCAAATCTTTCATTTTTTGCAGCCTCAATTCCGAACCTTGGACTTTTAATGACCTCCGGAGTCCATATAACAGATACCGTCCAAAATTTCATTAATTGATGTTGAAATAGTAATTTTGACTCAAATGGACAACTTAAATGAGGGATAAAATAGTATATTTATAATAATAATAAAATTAAAATAATGAAATAAAAAAAATATAAAGTTCATCTTCCCCCCCCCCCCCCCCCCCCCCCCCCCCCCCCCCCCCCCCCCCCCCCCCCCCCCCCCCCCCCCCCCCCCCCCCCCCCCCCCCCCCCCCCCCCCCCCC